AAGCATCAGTGCACAGGGCTTCACAACCCGCCTAACATCTTTCGTGCTTGCTGAGGAGTTCCAGCAGAGAGAGCCAGCTGATCTATAAATGTGGAAGTCCCGTGGCCTTGCAGCTGGTGGAAACGGCCTTTCCCAAACTTTTCTAAGTGAAAAACACAGCAAAACTGTGAGGTGATGTGGTCCTGTAGCTGCTTGGTACGAAAATTCAGAAGCTAAAATTGTGTGGAGGTTGAGGTTTTGTTGTTTTGATATCCTAAATTTTTTGAGAAGCAATTAAAAACTGTCACTATTTATGTCTCTTTTCTATGGTGGGAAAATGCATTTTATATACCTGTAGGAGAAAAAAGCTGTTCCAGCAGCCAGCATTCTGAGATCCGGATAATGAATCTGAGCTCCAAACTGACTTCATTTCTTTTGTGAATGACTTCCCTGGCTGTGGGGGACTTTGAGATTTGAAGCAAATAACATAAGACTTTGCTAGTTCCTCGTTAGCCTCTCTTGCAGCTTCACCACTGTTTTAGGGTTGGTCTGGATTCAGTTGATGGCTGTACAGTTCATCCAGGGGCATGCGGTAGTTCTGAGAAGGAAGGTGACAAGTAAAAGGCTAACATTTTAATTAATGTGTATATAATGTGCAACGCGAGGGACACGGTGGTGATTGAAGTAACATACTTTACTTAGATCTAAGTAAAGCAATCTCAGTTTGGTCTCTGGTCTTGCCAACTATCTAAAGATTAAATGCAATACAGCATAGCACAAAAAGGATCTCTGTCAAACTAGATGCAATGTGTGGCATGATGAATAAAATGGGAAGCTTCAAAAGGTAAGTAGTTCTTTAATTTTTTTTGTTGGTAGCTTACATTACAAAGTAGAATTCCTTCTAGGGGACATTCTCAGATAGTCCAGGTCTGTAATGGCTAAAGGGTGAAAAAAGGTGAGGGAGATCTGTCAAAAGAGAAGCTGCTTTCCCTACCAGATCATTATGCATATTATGTAAATTACCACTTTATTTCTGTCATTTAAGCAGCCCTTAGGACTGTACAAGTAAAGTCCAAAAAGCGTAAGATACTACAGCAACAGAATGGATTAATGAGACTTGTTTTACTTCTTATTGAGGTTTACTGCAGGTTTGATTTGAGTAAGTTGGAAGGTGTCCTTCACTGGTTTTTACTATGTACTTGCATCATGAGTTCCTTCAAACAGTCCTAGGTGTAATAGTGATTAGTCCCACTGAGGTCATGGGATTACTCAAAATGGTAGGTGCTGTTTTCTGCGGTGGTGGAGCACGCTTTTAATGTGTAAGTGCCTTAAGTAGGTGGTGGTCATCTTACCCTTGCACAGCACTGAGCACACTTTTAGGGCTGTGTTGAGAAGTTTGTGGATGTCCTCCTGGTCAGTAGAGTTAAGCACCTCTGAAGTCCCTGGAACAGCAGCTGGAAGCCTACAAAACTCATGGAACAGGGAGCTAGTTGGAAGATCCTCAGCAGACACAGGGATTTGGGCAGAATTTTTTAACATGTGACAGGTGATATATGGTGATATTTGACAGTCGTGATTCAGTCTGTAGTGAAAGGCATACTTGTGCTGACAACATAATTTAGAATGATGTAATTGAGCTTAGGCAGTCTAATTGAATGTTTTCAAGTGTACTTTTAGACCCGCTAGATGGACAGTGCATACTTTTCTGAACACATGGTTCTTTTACATAAAAATGAGGAAAACCACTTATCTCCTGTTTGAAATTGCTAGTTGCATTAACCTGACAGAAGTCATCTGAGGCTGCCTTGGTTAGAGTATGTGTTGTGCTTAAGGTACTGGTTCTGAATAATATAGTGTAAATTCTCGGATTTCCTTGGTATTCCTAAAGACAAAGGAGACCTAAAGACAACATCTTTTAATATTTTAGTGCTCTCTTAAGGCTTTCTTTGGTAATGATCCCATTATTTTGAACACGCTTGCGATGCAGCAGGTTGCCATGGCTGTCAGTGAGAGTTAAGATTGCAGTTATTCTTTCTAATAACGAGAACTTGAAAGATGACAGATGGATATGAGTTTCACCAAGTACTTGTGCATTGCTCTGGCTTTGTCTTTCTGGATCATGTTCACTTATTTGGGTTGGTATCCAAATAACGTTTGCACATACCATATGTTTAGCACGTCAGCAATGAGTGTTGCCTTTCAGATACCCAGCTTGGTTATGAGTGTTTTAGCATATGGAAGAAGTGCCCATAGGCAATGGTGAAGGGCTTTGCATATGGGAACTTCATAGCCTCCTCCTATGGTAAAATCAGTGTTCTCTAGTGGAGAACCTTCTACTTGTCAACCATGGTTTTTGGGCCCTCCCTGGTACCATTTCACAATATTTCCTTTTGTCATATTTCACCTCGAACTATTTTTCAAGTTATAGGGGGGAGGAGGCATGAAATGTTGAGTGTGAGAGGGGGATTTTTTTTATTTCTCAACACTGTCTTTGTTTTGATCGAGGACCTCTGTGATTGATGTTACATATTATTTATCGTTCTTAAGTGGATTGATATCCATATAAATCTATAAGGAGAGTCATTGAAAAAGTGCATGTCAACAGATGCAGAAAATAAATGAATGTAGTAAATACTTTCTCTTTGTTTACAGGAGGTGGCCTTTAGACACTGCAGTGCATTTTCCTGTGTCTGTCTGTGATTAATAAGCACAAATCACATTGTACCATCATATGCAAATATGATTGATGATACTTTAAAAAAGGAGATAAAAAAATATCACCTAGCTCACCTGCTGTGTCAGTTCTGCCTTGTTGTTTTAGCTATCTTCTGGGCCTTTCTTCTTCAAGTACTGAAACCTGAAGAACCTAAATAAACATGTTTTACTTTCCTACCACCTTTTAGGCTTGTGAAATAGGAAAACATTGAGAGGTGTGATATATCCATCTCTGCTGACTAATGAATTAATAATTTTTCAAGTTTAATGGGAAAGATTCAGTGTTATATTGTTTGCTAGAGAAGGTAAACATCAACTCTAACGGTAATTCACAATGTGTTTAAAACAATTATTCTTTATCATTAAAGTTAATAATATGCACATTAACCTCTGATGTAGTCTGAATCAATACTGCAGTTTGGGAGATGTGACCCCTAGACAGCTTTGTCTAAATATTGATTTCATTGTCATTTGTATAAGGTATGAAACAAATTACATGCCTCCCTAATATCATTAATGTAGCCCTATTGAGCTACTCAATTTATGGCTTCTTACAATGCATGACAAAGCATTACAGAATTATTGAAGACATTGTGAAATACAATTGCTTAGTGTGCTAGATTTGATTGTGGAAGGCCAATGCCAACACTCAATAACTTTCAAACACTTTCCTGTCCAGAGAAAGTCCAGATGAGAACGAACCACTCTGTAGCATGCAACTCAGTTGTTAATTCCCATCAGAAAAGTTCCCCTGGGTTCTGGGAGCAGCAATTTACTCTACAGCTTTCTACTTATATATCTGTAGCCTTACATGAAAATAGTGCATGCTTCTGTATTTTGTGCCGAAGGCAAATGTTGTTCTCTTCAGTTACTGGAGGAAATCAAAATAGGTAGGAAGGATAGCATCTCTCTGTCTTGGCCAGCATTTATAGTGTTTGTCATTGCTGTCATAATTTGAAATACGAGTTAAATAATTTACTCCACACTGTGATTTCTTCCCTTTATTGCCTCTGTATTGCAGCTGGCTTCTCACCATGCCCCTCATGTTTTCCTTACTCCTCCTTCCATCATAACTGTTCCTCAGATCTCCCTCGCAGCACCTTCTTACCCTTCCCGGAAATTTCAGGGTTGCTCCGAAACCCTGGAGATACCAATTTTCCCTTCTTTTGCCTGCTCCCTCTTCAGAGAGCTCCTTATTTACACAAACACACCGTTGTTAAGCACGAGATTCAGGTGTCTACTTTCCTTCTTCTCGTTTCCATACACAAACCTTGGCCTGGTGGATATCTAAGAAAAAGCCCAGGATGGGTGTCATGTCTTCCCCCTGAACGTTTGGTCAGGATGGTTTTTCTTGCTCTTTGCTTGGTGTCTGAGCACTGCTCACCTGCAGTCATCGGCTATAAGCTGCTTATTTCACATTCAGGGTCACTGCCCCCCACCCCCCACACACATACTTCCTTTCCCCATTCTTTAGCTTAGGGGGAAAAAAAAAAAAAAATCAACTTCCATATCCAGTCTAGGATACCGTTTCCATTATCTACATATTACATTTTCAAAGCAGTGTGTTCATACTTTCTCCTGTGGTGGCTTTCATGCTGAGGGACCTTCGTGTAAATATATGCAAAGCTACTTCATTGTGCTTTAATGTATACAAAAATCTCAACCGCGTTTGAGCTTCTGCTGTGCTGAGACTACAGCCCATCATTCCAGCTGATATCGCCTCATTGTTTAATTGTACTTGCCCGTTTTCTCTGGTGTTAGGCTTTTATCTGAGACTGTCTTTAAGGCTTTTTGATTTTGGGGAGAGGATTTGTACAGCATGAAACATGTAGGGCATAGTAATCTTTGGATAAGTATCATAGGTGCTATGTTATTACAAATAATACAGAATAATACATTTCCTACATATCAAAATGCTCTAATTATGTTATCATTACAGTCAGTGTAGGATTGGCACCATTAAAGTAAAGTTCTCTTAGCTGTCTCAGAAGGGTGCTTGGCACCTTTTAGGAACATGCTGTTTTTTCATCAGAAAAGTCTGTATGGTGATTTTTTTTCCTTTTCTTCTCTCTTTTTTTTTTTTTTTTAAAGACAAAAAAGATGTTCTTTTAGGATTACGGAGATGAACAGCCTGTTACGATCATCTTGAATATAATGCAGACCATAGGACTTCCGTGAATTAATTCCTGAGAGTATTACAATGCAGCTTAGGAAAAGAAAAAAAACCCCAAACTAATTTTGATTTAAACCTTGCTCATGGTAGGTTTTCTTAGTTCATAAATTTTTTCCCAAATTTTCTCTTACAGGTAAAAGTGACCCATTTTGTGTAGTTGAATTGAACAATGACAGACTGCTGACCCATACCGTCTACAAGAACCTCAATCCAGAATGGAACAAAATCTTCACATTGTAGGTGTTCGGATTTTGTGAGTGTGGGGGGGGTGGAGTTTTTTTGAAGGGGATATACATGTGAATCAAAGATACCTACTGCTGATTCCGAAGAAGGATAGCGATGACACACTGATATTTCTAAACCAAACAGCTTAATACTTGCCTGAGGATTAAAAACATGAAGAAAATTAGAGAAGAGGTACCATTTTAAAAGTAAAAAAGCAAGGTTTCTTTCTTGGAAACCGGGTAGGAGAAATGGTAAGCACTCCTGCCAGCTTCAGTGAGAGTTTCAAGGTGGGGTTTGGGTGGAAAAAAGGGATATTGTGATTATGGCCTTCATTAAAATGTGGTTGTTAACTCTAATAAACACTAGATAACGATATAAAGGAAGGAATTTTAAATGTAGTCACACTTCTCTGAATTATGATCAGCTAGTTTCCACTTCTTATTCCCACTTACCAACTGCAGTTCTCACAATACCATATAATACCATACAAGTACAATACTGCTGCTGGGTCAAATGCAGTCTTAAACATTTAATTTATTGGGAAGTGATGCAGTTGTTTTTTTTTTTTTTTTTTTTTATCCTTCTGTTACTTTGGAGACGGTAGAAGGCTCTGACACAGTAGAAAAAAGTCCTTTCCAAACAAAATGTTCCTGTTTTCTGTCTTGCTCAGTTGCCTTCTTTTTCTCCCTGCTCGTCTCTATGTGACTGCAGCGTGACACCAATGGGTAGAAGGCTGATCAGCTGCAGGTTTCCCTGCTGCTGAAATGGGCTAACAATCCACTGCAAAAGCAGCTTTAACTTTGTGTACATTTACTTCACTTTATCATGAATGAAAATGCTATACTTTGCCCATGATCTCAAGACTCAGTCTGATTTTAATTTTCTTTTCTTTTTTTTTTTTTTCCCTTCTAAATTTGTCATTCATGTATTTGGCATCCTTAGCTTTTCTTGCCCTGCAGTGAGCTCTCAGGAATGAACTCGGAACAAAAGAAAAACACTCACAACAGTTGTACTTCTCATTAGCTTATTAGCATAGTTCTCATTTACGTATCTGCAAAACCATACTAAATTCTTCATTAATTTATTTTTAATTATCTACAAATAGAGCCAATAAGTAATCAACCTCTACTGCTCACCAGTGTCCTCTGCGTAAGAAATTGCCTGGTTTTATAGAGGACAAAAGACTAATCAGGAATCAAACATAAAAACTCAAAAGGCCTTCAAGGAGAGTTTTCACCTCTCTTCTACGTGTGTTCGCATTGACTATTTTATTTGTCCTCAGATTTGTTCATTAACTGTGGGCTAGCAATCCAGTTTCATCTGGAGGTGTGTATTTTACTGAAGATAAACTGATTTGCTTGAACTAATATTTCCTGGATCAGCCATTTGATCAAAGATGAGTTCTCTCAAACAATTCTGTTTTTTTTTTTTTTGTCTGAATGAATAAGGAATGTGAATTTTTCACTCAAGAGTTTACAATGTACAGTGACATTTGTCGTGCATTGTGTGGTTTTGCTCACAGGCGAAAAACAGTGGTGGCTGAAAAAAAAAAAAAAAAAAAAATGCATCATTTCGTATTGCTGGTTCCCGATCCGTTGCAATGACCGTTGCATATCTGTAATTAAGCGAGGATTTACGGAACGAAAGCGCTCGTTCCCAGTGCAGGGGATGCGCTGGCCGAGCTCGTAACCATCCTCGCTTACGAACCTGCAGATTTCGCAGCGTTTGCAGCAAGAATTGCTGCCAGGGCAGCAGCGCTTAAGGGGTAGTGTTTAAAGGCTCTCTCGGTCCTGCTGCTGGCGGCTGTAAATCCCCCCGCGCTCGCTCTCCTTGCAGCTCTGGCGGCGCAGACCCCAGGTAGGAGATTTAAAGCAACATCCTTCGGAGAAGTTCTGCTGGGAAAGCCTCGCAGGGAGAGTCGCCGCAGCCCTTAGGAAGCGCTTCGGTTATAGGGAGGGTATAGATGTGCCTCGTTTACTTAAGTTCTGTTCTCTGCCATGGCTTGGAAAAACGGACGGGTGTCTGTTTTTGCTAACCTTTCACGCTTTTGTCCTTGGTACCCGCTGGTGTAGGTGACTTCTGTCTTCTGTGTGCGCTTCTCCCTTTGCAGCAATATTAAAGACATCCACTCGGTGCTTGAAGTGACAGTTTATGACGAAGACCGCGATCGGAGTGCTGACTTTCTAGGCAAAGTTGCTATACCGTTGCTGTCTGTAAGTTTCATTCACCTGACATAGCGCTCTGAATTTTTCCTGCTGAAAAGGGGGGGGGTGAGGGGGGTGGCGGGGGGTGAGGGGGGAAAAAAAAAAAAAGGGGGGTAAAAAAAAAAAAAAAAAAAAAAGATTTGCAGCTCTGTGTCTGTCATTTCTCAACCAAGGTCTGTAATAAGAACACTAAAATTTTAACATACTCAATTCACGGCCATGTTGAATCCCATGATAGTTAATTTTTCCTGACAGACTCGGTCCTGGTAATGAACAGGTACTTGTCAGACTTGCCACAGTTGTTTTGGGTTCTCTGTCAGTTTCAGCAGCTGGGGGTCAGGGGTCACCGGGGGGGTGTATTCAGCGGAGACCGCGAGACAGACGGCTGTCATGTCCTTTTCCTGCAGATTCAAAATGGTGAACAGAAAGCCTACGTCTTGAAAAACAAGCAGCTGACAGGGCCAACAAAGGGGGTCATCTATCTTGAAATAGATGTGATTTTTAATGCTGTAAGTCTTAACTTTGGCTTTTTTGTACTGCTAAAGACTTCAGTTTCATGAAGGCTTTTGTTCCTGATTTGTAGAGAATTTCTGTCATTCCTCATTTTCTCTAAACCTTGATGTATACTACAGAATACTCTTCTGCCACTGCCTGGCACACCCACTCTTTTTGTTGCTGCTGCCGCTGCTATTGCTGCTAATGTAAAGAGCAGCAACTCATGCCTCTGTGTACGTTTGTGTGTCGCCAGCTTGGCAGCCATGACTTTGAAACTTCGTAATTTTTGCAAATTGAAGCATGTGTTATTAGTAAGGAGCGAGTAAGCCTGAAATACTGACACACATTTCAATGCATAGGTGAAAGCCAGCATACGAACCTTAATGCCCAAAGAACAGAAGTACATTGAAGAGGAAAACAGACTGTCTAAGCAGGTAAAGAGTAAGGAAACACTAATCCTTTCCGAAAGCCTTAATATCAAGTGTGCACATCCAAATATCTGGTATCATACTGCTGAGGGTAAAGAATAACATTTTCATTACCTGTTTACAAAAGAATATGATAGGTCGGAAAAGGCAGAAACAAAATACATGGGTTTATTGTGTCTCCTCTATAAATTGCAGCTTAATTTCCATGAAATACGTGAATAAGAACACAGTTGAAACCATCAGGTTCCACACATATCAGATTATAGCACAGGTGCATGTAAACTAAGTCTTGCATAAATTTTTGCTGTTAACCTTGACCCGAAAGATCTCCATTTGTTGCAGGGTGGAGAGTCTTTCAGCATTCTTTGAGCCAAATTTTAAATAAGTTAGTTGAGTGAGGTTGGAATCAATGGTGAAAGCCGACTAAGACTCTGCATTACTTTTGAGAGTCCTGTGGGTACAGAATGTCTGAACCTTTTTTCTTCTTTTCCTGGATATTTTTGCCACTCACATTTTAAATCTTTTGGTACAGAATATTTAAACACACATCTTACCTTTTCCTCCACTTAGTCTACTTTTGAGTCAGTTTTTCATGTTCCACAAATGATGTATTTTAAATGGAGAGAGCTGGGCTTTTGGTTGGACTGTGGGAGCAAGGTATTTGTTTTCACTGAAAAGGCAGAGGTCTCAAAACAGTTTTTTATCTTCCTGAAAGCTTATAGACTTGAGCATAAACTAAATTACCTGCTGGATGAATTTTGCATCAGTTCTATGCTGTATTTTGTTAAAAAGGATTTCAAGAGGCAAAATATTTTTTTCTTTACTCTTGTAAGGTGGTTGCTAGATCTGCATTTTGCGCTAATATTCCAGCAAAGAAACAGCAAGGCCCTTTATTCAAGATTCATTCTTCTAACCACTTTCATAACAGAAAATGGAATTGTGCTTTCTGCAGATGGCAGGAGGAGTAGACTTTAAATACTCACTTTCGGGGTTGTTTGTTTGTTTGTTTGTTTGTTTGTTTTTAAATTAGCTTGCAAGGGATACCCCAACACAATACCACTTATGGTGGGGGGAAAAAAGGAATCTTTATGTATGACTGATGTGATTGCATTTTAAAACATCCACATTTTCTGAGAGTGAATGTGTCTTACCTACCTAGCATTTTTTATGCTACTCAATACACAGATTAAATAATTCACTGGTTTCTTCACTTTTTTTTTTTTGGTCAAGTCTATAGCCATTTTAGAGGATTTAAGGGTTATCTTGAACCAAAGCCCAGTGCTGTTGCATCTCATCTCTATATAGATTGAATGTATGCAGTTAAAGTTACTTTGATAAATACTTAAAAACATAATACATCACATCAGACAAATTTGTTATGAATGAAGGAAAAATTGGATGTAAACGGAGCAGGTGATCTTAATTACATTAGAGCAGTAATTTTGCATGGTTTCAGGTTAGTGTCCTATAGCATCTTTTCATTATGAAAGGCCAACATTTGTTATATACTTGAGAATGGGGAAAGTCTTGCCTACTTAACAAAACTCCAAAACCTCAGTAACAAAATAATTTGTGAAATTTTGCAAGTGGCTTTTTAACACTGAACAACAGTTTGTGTACCGTTTAGAATTATATTCAACAAATATCAATTGACACAACCAACTCTCTTCCAAGTCTCTCAAATTTTAAACTATATTTCTCAATTTGTGAGCCAGAGACCTTCACATGTTGTTTTCTCAGTTGTGACTGAAATTAAGGACGACGGTAATGTAAGCAAGAGCCTTTTCTGAAGCTTTTGGAGTTGTGACACATTTTTATTCTTTCATTTGTTTAACAGCTACTGTTAAGAAACTTTATCCGGATGAAGCGTTGTATCATGGTGCTCATAAATGCCGCCTACTACATTAGCAGTTGCTTTGACTGGGATTCTCCCCCAAGAAGTCTCGCTGCTTTTTTGGTATGATCTTCTTCATATTACTGTCAGTCACTGTGGTGTACTTGTGTTCTAGACTGAGAGGTAATACAGTGTTGGTAGGGGGGTGGATCTGATTTTTTTTTTTTTTTTTTTTTTTTGTATTTAAAACTTTGCATTATGAAGATACTGCAAATCACGTTTATTCACATTAAAAAAAAAAGTTTTAAATGTCACACAAACGGGATGGAAAGTTGGTTTTTTTTTTCTTTAACTTACGGCTGTACAAATAACATAAGCAAGTGATACAACTCAAAATGCAGTCAGGGAACTACGGATCTATTTTGAGCTTCTCACACATTACCTCTGTTAAGTTTTGTTCGCCCCCCTTGTATACTGCATATTTACTCCGAAATTTGTTTTGAATATTTCAAGAATGCTTTACATATCATGAATATAAAATTAATGTTGTTCTCACTTCCACATATCAATATATGTTACACCTGTAACTTTTTTAGAAGTACAAAGCTCTAGACCCAAGGAGTTGCTTTGTTACTAATATTTAGTGTTATTGGTTAAGAAAAGCGATACCAAAACCAAAATAAAATAAAACCAACTTTAGGAGCGTTAATTCAAACAAACTAGTACCTTTCAGACATCAGACTCTGTGAAGTCATAGTTCACTATTTAGTGAATTAATTGTTAGCGATTTAAATGAAACTGCTATTTCTCCATAAACATTAGCTTCATTAATATTAACTTTTATTTTCCTGTTAAATTTTGAAAATTCCAAGCATTATTGTAGATCACATTGTGTTTCCCAGATGAATATATATATTTATTTTTTTTTCCAAAATCATATGAACTACAAACAAGACCAGAGTCCCTATTTGTTTTTTGCCTGGGGGAGTCTCACTAGGAGTAAAAATGTATGCATGGACACACTTTCTGGAACATCTAAATTTATTAAGTTGGCTGAAATACTGAAGCTGTGAGCCTCTCCACCGTGAATATGAACAGGGAATGTTTTCACTCTTTCTTTGAATAATTAAAGAGAGAGTCTGCTGTCAGTACCCTGAGCTTGGGTACCTAAAGCTCATCTCCCTCAAATTTGGAGACATCAAACCAGGCATTGGAGCTGGCCGCACGGGAGTGGTAAATGGGGCACTTTGGTCTGTCACTAAATCTTGCTGTTTTGCAGGAAGTTTCTTTTGTCAGGGCTCAGTTTGCACAAAGTGGCTTGTTAAACCCCACTGTATCCTGTCAAAGGACAGCAGCAAGCTGTCAGTCCTTGGTTGCAGTGTTCATCAAGAGTACAGGAGATACACATGTTGTTCAAACTCTCAGAGTTTTTATACTTCTCCTGATGTCTGTCATAACTACACTGTGTGCAGAAATCTAAATACACTGACTACCATTGCATTTAGAAAGGTGATCTGTTACAATTTCAGTTTAAAATGATCAAAGTTTCATAGGAAAATACGTGTTTCTACGCAAAACTCAAATGTTCATGTTGCTATTACTGCTCCAGTTAGTAAATACTCATCTGTCCAAATCTGATTTTAATGTGGATGTGAAACACCAACCTGTCGTCAGTGGAAGAAAGGAAATGGAAAGACAACCTACTCTTTGGGGCAAATGAAATTACTTCTTTCTCATGGTGCGCTGCTGTGGCCATAGAATAAGTGGTGTGGCTGTGAAAATGTAATTGTTTCTGATCATAGAAGAAATTTGATGTCATAATAAGTAGTTGGAAATACATAAAAAACAGAATTTGAGTGGGGAGGTCTGCTGTGAGTAGACATCATTATTGTAGTTATACTGTATTACAACAGAATCGAGTTTGTGATTTTACTTATATATACACTCATATGTATATTTATATATATAACTCAAAAGCCTGCTTTTCTTAGTTTCCTTTTAGTATTTGTTTTGCTGTGTGGTTGTTGTGGTAGTTATGGACACATTTCATCTGCATCAGTGCTCTGACTTCACAGATGTGTTCCTGCTCTGCATCCAAAGTGCATCCCGTGCTTTTCAACCTGATGTTATTCCATCCAAGGACCAAATCATCCCTCTGCTGAGAAAAACATAAGGTTTTGCTAGCCAAGTCAAATCTACGTGAACTTCTATCATGATTGTAAGCTTTGGATTTAGACTGTTTCTGGAGTTCCACAGTTATCACAGGCCCTTGAAAAATCTTGAGAGTGATTCACTCACACGTATAATGCTGAATTATGCTTGCACTAAGGTTACGCTGGAATTTAATAGATTCTATAAAAAAATCTCTACTTATATGTATCATTTTCATCTCTTCACTATCATACAAATCGTATCTCCTCTTGAAGTTGACTCCCAGAGGTTGGAGAATGTCACAGTGAAATGTCAGTGCCAGAAAGGAGATGAGAAATAGGCCATTCTGGAGGTTTCCAGCTCTGTAGGCAGACTAATAAATAATGTACGAGAAGTAAACTTTGAAACTAACCATTTTTTTCCTTCCATGTTGGATATGAAGACGTACCCTGATGGGTAATGTCCTGATATGTGTTTACAGCCACTTTACACAAGTTACACATGAGGGTTGATTTTTCAGGTGTCCCATTCAAACAAGTTCTTGGCGTTACAATTTACGGGTACCATTTGGTTGTTCCTCACCCCGTGTCTTTACTTTCTGATGGGGCCACTGCTACAGAAGACCACAAGTGAAGAAATTCTGACAGACTAGCTCAGTTTTCATAAATGTGGTAAGTTAGGTGTAATTAATGAGAGATCTGAAGCGGAGGACTACTCTTGGAAATGCACAGGAAGCCTTGATTAATGTGGTGACTCTGTAATAAGCTAGAGTTACCTGCTTAATGCTCTTCGCACACTGAAGTGTTCGCTGCAGCTCTTTTTAAAGTCATTCTCCTTGGAGAGTCACCATATTAGTCGTCAAGACTAAAAGTGTTCATCGAAGGGGCTTGCTGATTATTTATACTCCAGAACTTAGCTGTCTCAAACCTTTACATTATGGGGGACATTTTACTAAAGGAAATGCTTTATTAAAGGTTTAGGATGGTTCTTTCTTGAGTCTGTCCAAAGGCACCAGCTCAATGACCGCTGTTGCCCATGCTGTACCTAGAAGTACAGAAACCTAGAAGTTAAATTTTCAGTTTCTAGTTCATGCATTTCCTCGAATAAACAACATTTTACCCATTTATGTTGAACTTCATAAGCTCATTGCCTTCACTGGTGATTTTGTCTAAATAACTTAAGGTTTTGACTCCAATTTCTTTTTTTTTCTGTGCCTCAGTAATTCACAGCAGAAGAATTGCTATCCAGACATAATTTTTAATATTTTTGTGCTAATATAACCATGATGTAATTACCTTATTTTTCAGATATTCAAAGATATTTATAAATAGCTCATGAAACATAGTTTGATCTGTCTAGCATAGGACTTTGGACTTAAACCATCAGAAGATTTGATAACCACTTTCTTTTCCATGTCTATTTTCTATTAAATAAAGGAAGTGTATAGCAATAACGTTAAATTAATGTTTCAGTTCCAGAACAGCTTTATTATATCACATATAGCCCTGTTATGTCTAGGGGCTGTCTAGAGGAATGTGTTAACACTTTTGTGTTTATGCTTCTTAAGCACCCAGATGCAATGGAAAGGAATAGAATACATAGAGAGAGCGTTTGCTGTAAATTCATATGATACTCTATAATTAAAACGGACCTTTGGTTTATTTAGCAGTTAATTTTTATATAATTTTAAATTCAGTAATTAATATGGTATGTTTCAGGCAGAAGAACTTTATATTAGAGTATGCAAAAGCGGATGGTTTTTCTTTAGATTAATCTACTGTGGGAACTGAAATGTCTACTAAATTGGGCCTAATTTCCATCAGCTTCTTGACCAGACATTTGTGTTCTTGCAGATGTCAGTGGATGCAATGTAAGGGGAAAAAAGTGTACACTCTTTTTTTCCAATACTGTCATTTCTCACTGTAATGAGCACAAAAATAATTGGACAACTGAGCTATCAGTAAAAGGACACACTTCAACGTGAGTCAATGAATTATTTTACGGGACAAACTTTAATCTTTAAATGTGATTGTAGATAATTTGTGCTACCATCTGTCCATTTGGAATTCTTTTAGCCTTTTCAGTCGTTATACAGTAAGTGCTGCTGTGTTTAACATTAACATTTGATATTTTACACATTTAATTTCTGTACTGCTGCGTGGTCCTTGGGGAGCTTCGCTCTAGTGCTACATGAGAGAGACAAAGTATTGATCAGTTAACATTTCAGCTACATTTATGTATGTCGCAAAATTAATGAAAATGCCAGACAAAAATGTCAGAGTGCACAAAAAGGTAGAATTTAAATTTGGTAGTTTAATGAAAAGTTTAAGATGTGCATTATCAAAAATGTCCCCTTGCCTTTAAAGTACAATTCATAACTGAGTAACTAAAGGGAACCACATATTTTACTTATAGGAACATTGAACATGAAATATGAGGGAATATATAATCCTCAAAGTGTTTGGTATCCCAAAATGGCCTCAGTAAAGCACTGTAATTGCCTGCTTGAACATTTAACTGTTACTCATAAAATAAACTTGTTTCCTTTCTCATTTTGAAGCAGTGTCCACACCCAATCACACATAGTTTTCAGTATGTCCTCAAATTAAAGCTTTCTATGAACATGTTCTCCTATTCCTGTTGTTATTCCTCTGAAACCTGCTATACGTGTGTATGCCTGCTCACAGAAAACACTTTCTTTCTTAGGCTTTGAAATATTGATAAAACGACTCTCCCTGCATCCAAGTCATTTGTCAGGTCTAACTCACCCTCACTTTGTCTTCTAACGTTGCACAATTCATGTGTGAAAATGACATAATAGTGTCCCTAGCCTTTGATTAAGTGTTAGTTCTCTTGAACGTACACCATTTAGTTGTGGCGGTGTCATGCTAATTAATGGAAACTGAGAAGGAAATGGGAGAAAAACGAGCTGGTCCCTAGCAGGAAGTGAGGCACTAAAGTAATTTTTTCAA